TTGAATGTAAGAACACTTTTATGAAACGGTTTTGTTTTAGTGTTTTATTTTAACGAGATTCGATATCTTGTATATGAGTATGTAGTCGTTTTACTTTTAAAGAAAACAATGATCACTGTGATGATTGTCGTATTTTAATTCAGATACTTTTGAATATTAAAGATTTACATACATTCAAATATTTATAGATAGAGATAATACTTTCCGATACCAGCCCTAACAGTTGTATTACAATTTAATTGACAATAATTATTCAACGAAAATAATAATATGTATATATAAGTACGTATTTAGCACCCACTTTTTTCAATCAATTCATCGTTCAAGATGTTCTAATTTGAAGTACAAAGTCAACAGTACCTTGTAAGTCTGTTGTCCGCATGTATTCTATGCGTATCGCCATTTGTATTCAATACGCATGCTCTAATACGGCGCGCGATCCATCGACAGCTGAGCAATTTATCTTAGCCGGGAATCGAAGCCCTTGCAAGCAATTGCAACAACATTTCCTCTTGCCTTGCATGACACTAAATTGCTTCTACAAACGGCAGTGAATGCAGATTGTTCCATTATTGTTTATTTGTACACGGTATATATATGAGATTTGTCTATGCTTTATATGTACTAAGAGGTGTTCAATTTTCATGCATCATAAAATGTTTTTCGTTCCGAAATTCAACATAAAGAAATGCTTTACTATTATATCTTAATAATCCCTATATTTTTCAATGCCAAATATTACATCAGCAAATCATAACATTTATATAAAAATTCAAATATTATAACAATTACATAAATGAGAAGTATTAGAATTAAATTTTAAACTATGATTAACATTTGCTTCGCCATTATGAGTACGAAACCTTTTCATAGTAGTTGATGAGAACATTAATATGAAAAATTGTTCGGTGCACTGCACTTGTACACTGTCATCGTAATTGATGGTAAGATTTGCGTGCAATGCAGAGAATAACTACAACAGCTATGTTGTTAATTACAGAGAGTTCAAACTAAATGAGAGTATTATTTGGAACACATTAAAATATAGTTTAATACTTATATCTTTCAGTAACAACAAACGTTATTTATATGTTATTTTTATTTTATAATTAACTTTATATGTATAATCAATAATAACAATTTTATAAACGGGAACAATAACAAAAAATAATTTATAGAGTTTATTTTGTGGATTTTATCCGAAACAAACCCTCTAGCGTCTTCAAATTCTTTTTAAGTTATTATATTAAATAAATTAATCCACGTTAACATTTCATCTCTCTTAGCTTTGATAATAGGGACTTCCTTTATCACAAAATTAGCCATTCCACGTGTTAGAGGCAAAACTAATTGATTTCCCTGACCTGATTTGGTAATGATGAGATAAGTCCGAATATGTCTTAATATGGTCATGTCGAGAGCAAATGTTTTTTTTATCCGATACTAAACAAGAGGCATTTCGTAGTTAATCGGGCGGTGACGCTAACGTCGCGGCGAAGCCTTATAAGTCAATCTGTCTTTCGCCCCCGCACACCGTCCTAAATCGGGGTGATTAAAACATTTAAAAATCTATGATGATCATACTGAAGTAATGAAGTTGATATCATAAAATCGATCGTACATTGTATTACCCTATCACGTATACGCCGGAATGACGCTAGCGAAAGCATAATATATCGATTGGCTATTTTCGTCCGCAGTTGAATGGGATTCGGATATTTATTTATCAGCACATTATCTTAATAGGAAGTTATGACACGTACGTCACTGTTAATGACGGAACGTTGACGGACCGAGACAAGTGCGTCACCCCGCCTCCGCAGCTATGCCTCTGACATGTGCTTGTATTGTGTAAGTGTCAATTTACGTATGCATGCTCATTACACTACAGCATGTAACGAACCTATGAAATATAAACGCTCTAAATAGAAGCAAATGACAAATAAATAAAAACGACCAAACGATTCACACCGTTGTATTAATTCTGTTAAATTTTATTTTTTCTTCATCAGACCCTGTTACATTCTTGCCCTCAATAATAGTACTTTAACAGTCATTATATTTGAAATGATAATACAAATAATAAATCTATTAAAATTATTTAACAAATCTAATACATATATTTCAAAAAGAGTTTTTTTGCTTATTTAATTAGAATAAAAATAACAACAATAAAAAAATAATTATATTTACTAAACATATCTGCCATAAACTGATAACTTCTGCTTGGGAATCTTTACAATATTTAATATATTTCATTTAAATAATAGTAATAATATCAATTTAATTGATTTTATTCCTTACTAGTGTTACCCAAGACTCCGTCTACGAAAAAAAAATTACTATTACTCCCCCTATGACCCCCGCCTCCCACTAGCGCGAATTAACGATTAATTTCAGGATTGAGATTCACGATCATTAGGATAAAATTCGCCTAAATTACTCAGCATTACATCAGCTATCCTCACGTATAAAATATAATCAATTAAAAGAAGGTTTTATATCGGTACAGCCATTTCAAAGATTAGCCGGAACAAACAGACAGACGGACAAGAATTAAAAAAATATATTTTGGTGTAAATATCGTACATATTTTCCTATGTATGTAATAAAAACAGTTATTTCAATATTAAATACATACATTTCAAATTTTATTTATGTGTATGGACTACTGATTCCTGTTGTTCCTTTAAGAGAAACTACAGCAATCAGTAGTCGTCTGCTCGCTTGCCCCTTTGGGACATAAAAAAAAAGAGACGTAAACCAATAAAGTCCAATGAATATTTATTATTATAAATTATATGATAAACATAAGTTTCCTGAAATGCTATTTACTTCAAAAGTTTATAAACGTACAAATATCCATTCATCCTTCCAAACATTAGCAATTGTAATTTATCGATGTTTATTTAATTGTAGGACTTATACTATTTCTTTAAAGTCTGATAATATTGTTGTTATTCTTGCAAAACAAATACAGCAACAATTTCTTTTAATGTTAAACATTTCAACACAAATAGCAGCCTACGATTTCCCTTAAATCCTAAGACAAAAGGTTAGAACCTTTGGCTTTCACAACAAACGTAGGCACCGGACATGCGTAGGCATAAGCAAGTATAAATTTGACCTTATTTGCTACATGTATAAATATATTACGTATTGATAAAACTCGATATCAAACGAGATACATATCTATATATATTTGGATCAATAAATAAATTTACATTCTGGTTGTATGATCAATAAATAAATGTACAAACGAGTTTTTAAAATGAAAATAATTTGGAAATAAAAGTAGAAGATACTATATTAAAGTAGAAAAATAAGATTTGTAAGGGTTTATGGTTTAAATCTCAAAAACATAACGTGTTATCAAATTGTAATTGTTATCAAAACTATGCTAATTTTCACAAACCGAAAAGCATTAGATTTTTGGATAAAAAGTAAATGAATATCAGTGATAGAATATTGATATACTTGAAGTGTTCCTGATTCATACAATACCTAAGTAAGTTATAAGCATAAGAAGAATTAGGCCATCACGAATTTGAACTTGTAAAAGAAACTATTCATTGATCAGTTGCAATTATTTTTAACAAAATATTTAAATTTCTTACTTTATGTGTAGTGAGTGCTCCCAGCTCCTTACTAAATTTATTTTATAAAACACACTATTTTCATAGACCTTTCTGACATTTCAGAGTTAGAGTTAAAAATTATTTCTATAGACAAATTTAACATCTTTATCAATTTCAGTAGTTGTCTCAATTACACAATCAAAATATTTTAGATAATAATCTATACGCAGTTGTGATGTTAAATTATTTGGAACGATGATATTTAACTTTAAGCCCTCTTAAAACGGGGAAATTTTCATTTGATAACTCCACGCAAAAAAATAAAAAAGAAATCTCGTCATAACTACTGATGAAAACAAAAATAGTGAAGTTGTGTCAGATTTGTTCGTCATACTTGTACTTCGTGACTGTAAACATCATTTTTACACCAAATAATTATATACTTAGCCTTAGCCCTTTTATAAAGTTAGAAAGGTCGAACTATACCCACACTTCCGACCTGTCTGCGATACCTTCTATCCTTCCGGAGAAAAAGCGTAGGTCGGACACATAAAACTCATTAAGGTCAAATTCCCCTACTCCGAACTTCCTGTGCTCCCAGTTACGAAGGAAGCATGAATGCTCTATGACACAATGACAGTTTGGTAGTAACTCGATAAGTCTTGTCCATTCAACTCATATGCCCGCTGATAGTTTTCATCACCTTTAAACATACCCAGCTTTGGTGCAATATACTCGCGAATACTACAGCATTGGACTGTAAAGTGTAAACCCGAATTAATAAGATTTTCATCTCAATATCGGCCATAGGAAATTTATAGGCTCTCATATATTGTAACAATCACTTCCACTAAGCCCTCTTGAATTATTTAAACTACTAGTTTTGTAAATTTATAAAATTAGAGAATTTAATATAAATTAATTACATTTTATGATTTTTTAAAATATTTTAAAATTTAATATTTATTTTGAATTTACAATTATATAAATATCATAATTTTTTAGTCGATCTGATATATATGTGTATATATTGCTGTTATATTACTTTTTGAACTGCTTTGTTTTATCACAATATACTAAACATATAATCAACATGGCATAAGAACGAAACTAGATAATTATAAAAGTATTGAAAACAATTGTTTTCTTATCAAAAATAACGATTGCACCCACATAAAGTATAAATAAAATATAATAATTTTAGACCCACTTTATTTTAGACTAAATCTGTTTTGCTTACGAAATAAATTAACGATTAATTATTGTAATTGAACAGTTATTTTTATGTATTATTCTTACCAACTTATATTTCAAATTATTTGCTTTTTATGTTATAAACTTAGGCTACATTTTAACTGATAACTAAATTAATTTGTGACATTTTTATGATGTTATGTAACTTATAAAAATTACCATCCACAGGTGTTCCAGAATCAGTCGTTCAACGCGATCCCAATTCGCCCACCTCGTGCTCTTTGACATTTACGCCTCGCGACTGTGAACAGATGGTTGCCATGCCAACGGCTAAACATCTTGTGACCTTTCGGAGGGTCATTTCCCTGTGTTAATCTGCTTGAGGTTTTGGGTAATTATGAAGCCTTGAAGGCTATTTGAATTATGTAAGTGATTTGTATGTACATGTTTATTATGGACACAACATAGAAGTCGACTTACATGTTCTTTCATAGTTTAAAGCTAAAAATATACATTACATTATAACTAGTTACGTAGTTACAAGATCTGTATTTTTAGTCTAACCGATGAATTGTTCAACCTGCGTAACTGCCAATCTTCTCCGGGTTTCGTCACAGGAGCGCGTGGCACGCGTCTAATTGTAGAATAGCCAAAACAGTCTCCTACAGTGAAAACGGGACGAGCACACAGCATACAGTACGAAAACAGAACGTGATTCAGCGGGAGAAAGTGCTGGCAGCCGGGAATGTAGTCATAGTGACGCGCGAACACGCGGCGAGCCTCCGAGTATCGTGCCCACGCGTTCAGACTCGCACTTCTAGCCATCACTACACTTGTGCGTGCCGCAGTTTTCGCGCGCCTTCTTTCGCCGTCGCGACGCCGCGCCATTTTCTCGCGCACGTGGGCGACGAGCTAAGCGAGGGCGCCCGGTTCGAGTGCCATTAACGCGGTCGTCGTGAATGAACGCCGACCTCGACCGGGTGGCTGGCGTCCATTGATAGGACGCTCGGTCCACAAGAACAGCACCGCGTTCCTTGCACGGGGGCGGCTGCACTCCGCCGGCCGTCTCGGACGCCTTTCAGTCGAGGATGTGGCGCGACAAGCGCGACGACACACATCACGTTCAAAATCTGTGTTCATTTATCAGTAGACATTCGTGACGGGTTCAGTGATTACTGTGCTTTTTTAATTCCTATATATAATGATCTGTGATCACGTCAATTTTCTTAGTACTGTAAGTAAATAAGTTAGTTAAGCACGTGCGTCCGGTAGGGGCGGTTCGTAGTGAAAGTCTGTGCCGGTGTGCGAGTGTGGTGTGGTTTGGTGTGCGGGGATGCGATCGTGCGATGCTCTCGGTGATTGCGATGCGTCGGCCCGAGGACGAGGAGCTGGGCGGTCGCGGAGACGGCGAAGAGTTTGTGGATTACACACAGATGCAACTGCTCGTGGAGGCAGGCCCGAGCGGCCTGCATTACGGTGGGCCCGCACCTCCGCTGGCTCAACCGCAGCCTTACATACAAGCGACTCCAACTACAGCCACTACTACCTCAACGTCCGCCTCTGTAGACGATCTATTTGCGCTTTATTTTACACCAACCACCCATGGCGAGAACCAATTAGGTATTATCAAATTTTCGTTTCTCATTAGTTTTTAATTTAATTTAAGCCTATCAGACTACTGTAATTTCATTATAAAATATAACTTCTTTCATAAAACTAAGCGACTGTTTTGTTTATATGGTTAACTTTATGTCAGCATGTGTTTACATACATATAGTTAAAATACTTTTTCATAACAAAATTTATGATATGAAGTTAATATAACTAAATTCCGAGACCAAGCAAATTCCTCAAGACGATACATATTACAATCAAAACGGTTACCAGTTAACGGTTTTTTATAATTTTTTCAATAAAACAAAATTCATCAATAGCTTTTTGTCATACATTTAAAAAATAATGAGTGTGATAACAATCACATAAAACTATAAAAATAAACATACAATACCATTTTGAATGGCATTAAAAAAATATTCACAACCTGTATGGTTATGAGATAAAAAATGTTGTCGATATATTTCATATTGTAAGAGAGGTATTTATAAAGACATTCCAAAGTACAATAATTCTAAATGTCAGCACAAGCTCGCGATCGTAAAATTTTGGTCAGCGTTCCATACATTGTTATCTAAACCGGATGAATTTAATCAGTCGTCTACGACAAATGATATCAGGTTCGCCAAACTAAACATTGCCACAATGATTTATTTTAAAAGATCATTACACATAAACAGTCAACGGTAAGATACTAGCTTCCTTGATTCTTAAAATTATAGATAAAAGTTCCAATTAAAAAAAACATACATGACAAAAATACATATTATATACCTATACATATATATTTGAAAATAAAGAATTTTAATTCTCCGAGCCTTACATAAATTTCCAACATTCTTAAACTAGTTTTTTTAGCGGAACGAAAATGTGATATATAGTGGAACAGACGATTTATTGAACAATATAAATGTCATTGTAAAAATAATTTGTCACGAGGCGAAATTATATGAAAATTAAACAAAAGTTACTGAATATTTCTAGTCTAAAGTCTTACATGAGTTGAAGACTCATTAGTAATTCTTTCGAGTTATTTAAAATTTTTTCATGTTTCAAGTTAAATACCCCGACAAGAAAACAATGTATTTTGTTACATTTTATTTACCATGAGCTTGATATTCAAAACAAATTGACTTTTTGAATATGAGAACTCAAAATCTAAATTCTATTTATATCTATGAAAACATTTACGCGAGGTTTGGATCAACATTTCAATGTAGTTGTTTAAAATTCTTTAAATTTAGTAACGCTAGTAGTACTAACAGTGATAGATGAAAATAACTCTTTAATATTTCATTTGTTTATACAAAATTTAATCAATCTTTAAGATAATCATGCTTATATGTTTTTATTATGCGTCGACACCTACATTATAAATAATAAAAGAACTTATATCTAACTTTTAATGAAAACGAAACACTTAACGGAGCATTAATTTGAAACTATTTTCAACTGATAATATAACCACCAATGTTTTATTAAAAACCATCAAATACGATGCCATGAAGAGTTATTTAAAACCAAACCTACCTTATAAACTACCTATTTGTTAAATGGAAAAAATACGCCTATAGAAGCATATCATTCGAGAGAGCTTTAAGTATTGTTTAAAAATCACGTATTATTTAGTGTGTAAATAATGAAATTCAATCGTTTAACATGTTTGACCTCATACCACTGACGGTAAATGTTCACACGTGTGTTAATTCTGTATGCAAACATTATCTTGCTAGATGTAGTATTTTTTACTCAATTACACTTATGTCAATGATTTTCTGAAAAAAAATCCTCATAATAATAGAATTAATTGCTAGGAATACTTATAGAAAAACGAAAAAATAATCTTTCCTATAAGAATTTCGATAAGCATTATGTTAATATTTGATTAAATGTTATCATATTTTTGTCTTTTAACTAAATATAAGGGAATCGAAATTCCTATTTTTTCCTTCGATAAACCCGAGCAAATCGAATAAAAAAGTACTTAGACATTTGTATGCATTTTAATATATATTTTAATATAAATAATATTATCTATAAAATTTCGGTTCACTAAACTTGTTTAAAGATAAGCCCTTGGATCAAAAATCATTCTAATTTCTCTATCACTGAATTATAAACGCTATTGTTTTGAAATATTTCCCTTTTTTAAACTACTCTTCTTCTCTTTTCATTATTTTATTTACTCTTTTAATCTAATTATTTGTAAATTTGACATTATTGTTCCAAAGGAAACTTTCATTACACAACAAAAACCTAGTTTATAATCATGATTTTATAATTTTCATATACATATTTCATTTTAAAATAGAAGACATCACATAAACTCAATTCGATTAATGTATGTAAATATATTTATAAGGGTCTCATCAATTTTAAGAATATGTTTTGTACTTTAAAACAATATATGTATTTTATGCTTTTTAACAAAAATTCAGGAAAACTGTAAACAAAAAAAAAAGTGTTTTTATGATCTCATTAATTCCTAATTTTACTCAATACATGCATTTTACTAGCATTTTAACGCAATAGGAACTGTATGTAACTTTTGTAACTTTTAAATAACAAAGCTGTTTAGCTGTTTTTTTCCTTATAGAACCCTTAACATCCATGTCATCTGTATTATAATTCTCTGAAAGACCCCAATAAGAAACATAGACCAATCTTTTTAATGTTTTTATTATAATATAAGAAGTACATATATGCATTTTTTATGTACAAAATAATCTTTAAAATTGCGCATGGCGTGATCTAGATATCTTTGTTATTTCAAAAGAGGCGGAGTCTATAAAATCTTCGCCTTCACTGGGCGTTGCAGACATTCTATGTTGTAGTGAAATATTTTTTTTCAAAGGTTACGATCAACCAAAAATAATGTCTGCCAATAAGATCTATTTCTATAAATAAAACTTAAAGAAACTCTTTAAACTTATTTTTAAATCCAACAAACAATATCTTCGTTCATACACTCACTTTGTGATAAATTTAAACACATTACATTTTTGACGTCAAAATGGTAAATATTTAAATTTATTATAAAATTTAAGAAACATTGTAATTATTTAAGGAAACTAAGTTTCATTTTTCGTTATTTATACAAAAGAGACGACAGTGACAACCAAACGTAGGGGAAAATCCTAGTTATTTCATATACAAATTTCGAATTTTTTTAAAAGCTAGTAACATATTGGATCATTTTATAACACAATTTGACATTTATTTTCCGAATACTGTCCTTATAGATAGATAGATAACAATTGTTTGTATTTTTTTTATTTTTGACATTTTTTTATTTCTTCTGAAATTATTCGGCAAAAGGTGCACAATTAGGTAAATTACATTTTTGTATATCATATTGTAAAACAATAAACATCAAATATCATTTACTCTCTCCCAAGAATAGCAGAAATATTTCTTTTAACAAAAGATAGTTAGTCTCCTGTACGAAATCTACAAAAAAATATAAAAGAAATGTATTCTATTAAAGAACTTAGTCTTAGACTATGAATTGTCTTTCATATGAAACAATCATTTATGAAGTAGTTTATGAAAAGTGGTTTGCACTGTAATTTGCTGACAGAAAATAGTACGGTTGTGGATGGAGCAGACCACCTTTAATTAGCAATGCTTGACCACCAGAGAGAAATACTTTTATTTTAAATCTTTTCTTTCTTCCAATTTATATAAATAAGGTGGAAAGCTTTTAAAGTTTATCCGATTTTTATTATATTTCCTATTTTATATTTCATTGCCTAATATGAATCCATTAATAGAGATAGACATTACCAACCACCCAAATATGGCGCCTGTATGTTTAAAAAAAGTCACGTAAATTGAATTCTCAAACGCAATCTGCGTCAAAAAAGGTGCAACCCACGCTTTGCGCTTCACATTGGGACTGTCGGTTTGTCAGAGGTGCCTACTACAAGCCATTACACATCGGATGTTCCCAGATGGGCGATAGCCGCAGTAGCTTTGAACAGCCCGCGATGCTCTCGGGTTCACGCGCGTGCCTTTGACTCAACCCGCGTTGTCTCACGTCATACATCGACCATCCACTGCCAACGAGACAAATTACCAAAGCTTATCTGATTAGAAGTTTCTCTTAACTATACCTTCGATTTCATTAAATATATCCAAACGATCACTAAATATTCAATATTTATTTACATTGTTCGACAAGACAATCATTGCCTCTAAAGACATTTGAAACGTCCGGGCGCACCTGCGATCCACGACCAATGATCGGAACAATTGCTATCATTAGGGGCTATCGAGCCTACACGCTAAATATTCAAATAGTAGGAATGACAATGCAAGTTAATTTAAAAGTCAATAAATTATCGCTAATGCCCAATTTGCGTCGACCGGTTAACAATGGCAGTTCCCGCAATTACTTAAACGCATGTAACTAAGGACGATAGTATCTCGGCTGGGCCGACGTCATTGTCTCACCAGATACATGAACATGCTCTGCAATTACATTGTATAGATTACAACTGACTCAGGGTATCCCGATCAAAACGATTGACTGCGCTATAAAACATTGTTTTTACTAACCTTAATTAGAGTTTCATTCGAACGAGATTAACCTTGTAAGGAGACAATGTGGCTTTGGCCACATCCACATCGGTATGTGTCTTGCGAACGGTGAGTCACAAATAATAAATTCAAACAACGTCCCAAACAGCTCCTGAACCTCAAATAATCACATATATTCAAGTCAGTTTGCTATCTTTTTATCTAGTGGACCGGAAGATGTTAGTTAAATGACACCGTTTTTGCAGAACAAAACGCTGAGTGACATTTGCTACATATTTTAATAGCACGAGACATTTTAAATATGAAATATTTAGTTAAAAAATGTTTGAAAATACCTAGTTTTCATATGAAATTATTTATAAAATTTAAATTTATGAAAAAGTAATATTTAAGTTAAACTTAATATTCTGGTGTGGTTAAGAAGACTTAACATTAAACACTATTATAAACATATTTTAGCACAAGTATTTGCATGTTAAACATGAAAATAAAACAGTTT